TCCACCCTGGCAGTGTACACATTGTGAAGGCCTTGCACTGTCTCTCCAGTCTGTATAAAAGAGGGTCACAATGGGCATGTGTACATAGGCCATGGCAGTGAGCTGCCCAGATTGACAGACTCGAGGTAGCAGGGCTCACGCTAGCACTCTAAAAATAACTGTGTAGACAGCGTATTGAAGTTGTGGCTCGGGCTGTGAAGCCCACTCCCTTCCTAGGCTTAAGTGCTGTCTGCACAGCTATTCTTAGAGAGTTAGCACGAGCCCCTCTAGCCCAAGTCTTTTGACCTGGGTTGGAAGGTTTGCGTCTGCTGACTCTGTACATGTACCCAGTAAGGCCTTCAGATATTTAAAAGTGACCTGCAAAGGAAGGAGTAAAGAATTGCTTGTGGTTTTCTTTTTCTTGTATAAAGCCTGCCTGAAAGTTCTACTTAATTAAAATAAAATGGTGATTATTTACCTTTAGAAATGTCAGGAATAATGTATGCTAATCTACCCAGTGAACAAGCTATTAGTTGTAAATGTGATGAATGTAATCTGCTCAGAGCTTAGTGGTGGGGTCTATTGCTAATTACAACACTTTTATTTTGAGGCGTCATGGTCGCAATAACCAGATTCTACTGTTATTTTTTTTCCTCCAAATCTCTTAGGCTATTGCTGCATGTCTTGATATTGTCAGTGGCAGAGACCTACCTGGAGCTAAAGTAGCACTGTGGACAGAACATGGAAAGGCTAGGCAGAAGTGGAGACTCAATAAGGATGGAACCATCAGTTCGTACCTCAGTGATCAACTGGTTCTCGATGTCAAAGGTAATAAAAAGCTCATCTGCTATTGTAAATGCATGTTTTTGCTGTAGGCAGTTGTGGCTGGCTGGGATGTTCCAGTTATCTGTACCCTCAACGAGCTTGCACAATATTAAACAGTCCATTTACTCTGTTGGGTGAGGTAACAGATGTTCCAATCCACAGCTATGTATTTTTACCAATCACTTTTAGTGTATGAGACTGAGAAAAGCACAGTCATGCTATTCCATAACTCCCTAAATCTTGGTAACTTTCACCAGTTCCCCTTAGTAAATGTTAGTTGTGAAATGGAAACATTTTGAAAACTACGTTGCAGATGAATGTAGAAAAACACAGATTTGGTTTTTTTTTTACATTGCTCCTTGTAGCTGATCCCAGCTGTTTGACCAGCCACTTATCAGTTTTACTTTAGGGAGAACAGAAAGACAATGTCTGGAAGCAGCATTTGTACAAGATGAAAATGCAATTTTATGTCCTAACAAAATAACAAACCCCTCTCCCCCGCACCCCCATACTATAAACCTATTTTGGTACAGTGAAAAACAGCCAAAAAATGTAAAATACCATATCTATATACATTGCCCTGTGTAAAGCCAGATTAGTATCCAGTGGCTTCTTCATACTGAATCTTTCTAGTATGCTGTGGTAGAGCCTCACTTTCAACTATCATAATAAAGAGCCAGATCTTATTGCTATGTACTTTTACTGACAGCAGGAGTAGAGTGTAAATAAGCTACACAGCCACTCGGGAGGGCAGATTATTTGCTCTTAAAATTTTCAGGATAGTGGTTGGCGCATAGGACTAGGAGTTAGGCAACCTGGGCTCTACATCTAATTCTTGCTGGGCAGAACTGTGTTGCAGGAAGTGCAGCTAAAAGGGAACATTGCTGTTTAGGAAGCAGAATTGCTCAAGTACTGCCAATAGTGTGGTAGCCCTGGGAGCATGTAATGGTACAGTAATTCTCTAACCATGGTGAGGAGAGAGCAAGCTGATCTGATAGTACTGTCTCCTCTTCATTTCCAGCTGTTGAGATGCTTTAAAAGAGCTAAAAATACATTACTTTATTAATCCTTTTCCATGTAACCAATTGCTGTAGCTACCCGAGGGGTGTTACACAGTCACAAATGCAGGAAATGGTTTGCACAATGGTAAATGGGAGAGAAAATGTCCAAGACCACCTTTGTTTTTAAAATATAATTCACTTTATTTAAAAGTTTGCTGATGCTGCTGTTAATGATTAAATCTTCTTGTTTCTTGCAACTAGAACTTACGGACACAATGAAAAATATATCAGCACCAATAAAGAGTTCCTAGCCCACAGGGGTTAAATCAAGAGTAATTCGGGCTCCTAAGTTTTAATTTTAATTAATCATTAATTTTGTTGTGTGTAGCTTGATCCTAAATCATTAAATACAAAATTGTCCTTATTAGATGACAGGTTTTAAAATATGAAATCAGACATTTTAAAAAGCAGCGTCTATTTGACAGGATACATGTTGAAATTGTTTAAACATGGGCTGCTTTATTTAATGCAGGATCTAATATTGAAGTGACCAGGTTGGTACAGGAATAATATAGTTGTTAAATACTGTATTCTTTAGGTGTCTGAAAATAAATTTAAAATGCAGTTATAAATAGCAGCTCCCTAGGAGCATTTAACTCTTTGGTGTTTGCAGTTTGTGACCTGTTAATGCGAAATGCACGGTAGCTCTAACACAGGAATCGTCTATGCTACCTGGAGTCAAGTGGGAAACAGAAAATGAAAGGCCTCTGGCTGGAGAGAACAAACCCTGGCTCAGGATTGTAGCATTCTACACCTGTGAAATGTGCTGATAGTTGTAGCAGTAGCTCTGGATTTGCCAGTTACAAGAAGTAGAAACGCATTTAAGGGAATGGCTGAGAGCCAGTTTTCAGTTCTACAGTTCCTTAATTCTTCACCCTGGCAAAAAGGCTTTTCCTGAGCACAGAGGTACACTTGAAACTAAAAATCCTTCTAAGGGAAATAATAAAACTGAGAGAGCGCTTTCTATCTCTCTGGCAATTATATAACTCTTATTTGGCCAATATGCATGAAACTGGCAGCTGAAATCTTAACGTTTGTTTCTGAGTGCTATAATGCAAGAAATCTATTGACAAAATGGAGAGAGTTCAGAGAAGACAATACAGGGAAACAGAGTTAGGAGCACTGGGATGAAGGGAGTGAGATTTAGGATGAATATGAGGGGGGAAATAGGCTCTCTAGCGATTTCCAAAGGGAAGCGGTAGCAAACCCATTGCTTGAGACTGTTTATCAGGTCTAGTTTTAAGAACCAGAAACTGTACTGTGACATACAATGCTGTATAGAATAAGCCTGCTGACGTTATAGGTCTATCCCACCTCTCATTTCTATGATCAGTATTTTAGTGCCCTCAGCAAGGTGAGGAGAAAAAGGGTACAATCACAGAAGACCCAGGACAAAGATCTCCACGAGGGGTCAGGAGTACAAAGGCAGCAGAGACATGGAGGAGAATGAATAGGGAGAAGAGACCCTTTCTTGTGAAGAGGTTGTGTGTAACCTTTGAATGCTACTACCCTCCCCATTCAAAGGCTCTGAATGGAGGGGATTGAGGTGAAAAATTCAAGGCACTCGAATTTGACTGTGGAGGAGGGGTCAAGTGAAGATTGAGGGTACAGACTTGGAGAGCAGAGAGGAAGAAATGATGGAGAGAGTGAGTAGAGGAGACACAGGGTGGAGTTGACAAGTACAGTAGTGGTGTTTAAAGTAGAAAGAAGCTGAGAGCCCTCAAGAGCAGATAAATCCAAAAGAGGGAGTGGAAGGTGGAGAGCTCCTGCTCTTTATGAACATTTCATTAAGACACAGCACCCCTATGCCATCGGACAGAGTGACGGGTACTGTAGCCATTTTACAGCTGAATAAATTAACGCACAAAGACATGAAGAGTCAATGCTGTACTCCCAGTGACAGTAAACCACTCTCCACCTCTAAAACCTCAGACAGCTTTTGATTGTGCTAGGAAAAAGTCCATTTTTAACAGATTCACTTTAAAGCTTAGAAGTCTGAGTAACTTTGCAACGAGTTTTCTGTATTTTATAGATAATTTTCAATGTACTATATAATATTATATATATACACTCAATTGAATGACCAGCAGTCTCTTTGTTTTGTTTATAAGTATGCTGCATTAACCTTGCCTTAATGAACGTCTATTTTTAGGAGGAAATTATTATGACAAGAACTACGTAATTGTAAATCACCCCCTGGAGAGTGAATTCTCACAGAAATGGGACATTGAAATATTGTGAGTAAAACCACTACAAAGATCCTGGGAATATGGACCTAAGTGTGTTATGAACACTCTGTTTGAGAGAAGGAACTACTGAAGTCACATGCCACTGGAATGTTACTCAGCAAGTCCACCCTACTTCTTCCTAGTAGACACTGACTCCCAAACAATTGAGTTTTGCACATTGGCAAGGTGAGGTTAATGTAATGTTTTTTTTCTAATATTCACACATGACTCCATGTTGAGGTCTTCCTCTTCTTAAGACACCATTTTAAGTCTAAATTCCTTTAACATTCACTAGTCCTGTTAATCTTTAAGTGAAGGCAAAGATATGATACAGTAGCAAAAACTTGGCAGTTTATTTCTAAATAGCCTTTCCTGTGTCACCTTTTAGGGTATAATATGAACTAGATTTTCCTTTCTCCTCAAAAGTTAAAGGAGACGCTCTGCTGATTTAGGATCAAATTTTAATCACAAAAATCATCTCGCTACAATACACTTTAGTCTGTTCTAACCAAGCACTGGAATTCCAAATCATTGGCCACCTGGGTAAAATTAAGCCCTTATCTGAAGAAGTATTGCATTAAACCATAATAGTTTTTGGATTCATGGGCCTGTCTCCACCCATCAGGTGCCAGCCCAGAAAGTAGACTTTCATATACAGGTAGACAGTCGTACATGCAAACCTATACTAGATCAGGCTAGCTTTCTAGAAGGATTTGTTGAGTATAGAGGTTAAATTAATGCAATACATTTTGGTCTTAAAACCACAGTATATTCAATAGCACCTTTACAAAACAAATCTATCTTGTATGTGTGCTAACAATACCTTGTGCTGCGGCAAGGTTAAACCTGATGCATGCTAATGTCCGTGAGGCTCATCAGCATTGTATACCTCAGCTGAAGCAATTGCTCATTCTTTAGGAAAAGACCTGAAGATGCTGGTGACTTCCAGAAGTACACCCTTCAGTGAAATCTCAATGCTATGCAACATTTTTTCCAGTTAATAAAGAACATATTTGCATTTCATTTCTGAGGGAAAAGTGTTAACTATTTATGTGAGGCAGATTGTATTAAGAGGGCTTCATGGTTTTTGGTTTATTCTTTCACGCATTGGAGAAAAGTGTTTAAAATTCCATTATGTAGTTCCCCTAGAAGTGGAGTCATCCTAAATGCAGTTCAATATGTAATGCTTTCTAAGTGAGGTATCTTCTCTGGCTCGTGTGTTTTTTGTATTGATTATTAAACTATGAAAGGAGGAGTACAGATTAGCTAAACCAAAACGTGAACGATTGTATTATTTCCTATAGCTATTTTGTGTTAATGGCTCATCCTTAAAGCCAAATTTTTGCCACAGAAAAGTGAAACAGGTGTAAGATTATTTTTGTATAAGGGAGAATTCTAGAGTGATATATTTTGAATACCTGTACCTACTTGCACTTATTTACTTTTACATTCTAAAAGCCAAAATCAAATACAGATCTGTAAGTGACTAGGTTTGTGACTGTATATATTTTCTCACTAAAGCACTTGTATAGATTTTTCTATGAAAGTCTGTCAATATACTACATAAGTTTTAAATATGATTTGTGCTTTCTAGTTGTAATATAATCCCTTTTCCCTCAAAACAATGAGTAGATCACAGCTGGTGTATCAGTGTTATATAATAAAGTAAAGCATGTATATTTTAATTGTAAAAACTTGCGGGGGATTCTTTAGCTTGTAGTATTTTGTACTGTGTAAATGCAATAATTTTTGTTTTTAGCTAAGACAGTAAGGCACAAAAATTGCTGAAGAGTGACTTCCTTCCCAAGAGCACCAGTTATAGCATTTAAACAAATGCCATATATACACTGAATGACACCTCCCTCCCCCCCATGGCTTAAAAATCTTCATATTAAAATAATGCAAACATTCTTACAGCCTAGGAACAATTATTACAACAGGATATTCATTATCGGCATGTTTACCTTTGACCCTCAGTTTTGTGAAGCCATTTCAGAGTACCAGCATATGGAAGATATGCCGTTATGGTCACTAAAATTAATAGCACTTCTTGCACAAATAGGAGTGTCTAGCTAAATTGCATCAGAGTTACTACCTTTAAAATTTTCTAATGCTGTTTCAATGCTTCACTCATCCCTGAAATTCAGTCACCTCTTCAGCGGAAGGTATTTTTTTGTTAAGTAACTGTAATATTTCCTACAACATCCTGGTGTATTACCTTTTTCAAAAAAAGTTGGATGGGGTAGCATTGAGGTAACCAGTTATCTCCTAAGGCTGTGGAGAAAAGGCACAATTTTTTTAACCTGTTTGTTTCCCCAGGGCCAGACAATACAGCTATAGCCAGAGTTGTGGTTTTTGTGTCTCGCGTAAGGGACACCAAGCAGCATGAATGGTTTTGTATTACTTTACAGGCAGGCTCACTTCCTAGTTGATGGGCAGAGCTGTGAAAACAGGTTAGCCTGCCTTACCACAAGTCATTTACTTGGACTAGTCCTGTCACCCCACCTTAGTTGTTTGAAGCAGGGGCCCTGTTTAGGGGGGGAAACCCAAGCAAATAGTGAGTTACATGAGATGAGAGCAAAGATAACTGTAGGCTTGAAATGGGAGTTAGTCACATTATTTGCCACTGGGTAGTTCAGCTTACTGTAACAATCCTGGCTTTGTTTGTAGTCACCCTTCAGCTTCTAGGTAACTAATGGCCATACTTTAAATTCTTCTACTATGCTGTTTAACAAAAGGCAGGTAGGCATATTTTAAAAATGTGTCAGAGGCCACAATGTTAAAATTAGCACACACAAAAACCACCCATCAGCTGAGAGTTCAGCCAAGAAGTAGCTTTTGGCCCAGTTCTATACACATTCCCTTACGAGTGCTGAAAGAGGTAGAGACCAAGAAAACCTAGACCAAAACTTCCCTAATCTGAGTAAGAAAAAGACAGACATGGTATGCACTGCTTGGGGGTGGAGTATGGAGGAGCAAAAATAAGATGGGTATTTGAGAACCAAGGCTGATAGTCTCACTGGGTTTAATTTTCAGCATGGCTTTGTGCTGTAGTTAAATTTATGACCTAGTGAGACATTTTCCCAAGAAAAGTCACCCTGGTTGAGATTAGACAAGGAGTGACACACATTGTTTACTAAGTAAAACTAACAATAAAAAGTAACTGTGGCAAACCTGTGAGATGTGCAACACAATTTTACTAGATGCTCATTGCAGTGGACCTGTTTCTTATTGAATGACTCCCTTAGTGGATCCAGCCCTCACTGCCTGACAACCCTTGTTCCCTCACCCTGCAGGCATCTAAATTTTCACAACTGTGCATGTGCAAAGCCACTTTAATCCCTTAAGAGGAACAACTTCAATAGGAGAGACTGAAGGTCAGAGTACACTAGACACACTGATTTGGGGATTTGAAGCCAGGTCTCCCCCATCTTTAGTGTTCTAACCACTGAGCTATTGTGTAGAAGTCAGGGGACAGCACCACCACCACCTAAATTGCTTTGGGGGTGGAGATTAAACTGCACCTCTGCCTTTCTTAGGCAGCCTTGCTGGCTTGTGTAAATCCTACTCTTGGTGTTGGAAAGCATAACCTTAGGTGCCCAAGTCCCTCTTTGGGCATCTAACCCTTAGTGCAAAAAGGCAATAGTACAGGGAGGCACAATTTTCTAGAGGCATTAAATACAGGGAGTTGAACTCGGCTTTTAATGCAGGAGACAGCTAAAGCAAGAATCGTGGTGGTGGGAGGTGTGCTAAACTGCAGGGACTTTTACCAAACAAACCGTCACAAAGGAATTACTCGCTTTAAGAAGTTTATATTAAAATAGTTCTTTTGGTTTTAGCAGGCGTGAGACAGACCCACTCCTTCCAAGAGGGAACATATTTAAGTACAAAAGGCCTTTTTTAACTTTAAAAAGTGAACTTTGCTAAATGTAGGCTTCACTGCTCAATCTGCAGTTGCTGCTATGGTATAGTTTTTGACCAATTCTTCTCCTTTTCTGCTACACTTACTGTGTCCCTCTGCCTAAATTATCCTCATTTTACATTTAAAATTTCAAGGCATAAAAGCCACCTTGCCTTTTGGATTTAGATTTCCCTAAGGCATGCAGAAGAGGGTGATTTTGAAGCCTCTTTAAAAAAGAAAGAAATACAGCACTAGAGTGTACATTGTACTATTTGCCATTTATTACTTTGCTGTCAATACAAGGCAGAAGCTCCATAGAAGAGGAGGACTCAGATGGTCCTTTGTCAGTACATACTCCAAGGCTGAAATGTCAGGGTCCAGGAACATGGCTGATTTTTTAAAGACTCAGATTACCTCGATGAGACATTCAGCCCAGAGTGATAACACAAGGTTCTCTTTCTCTGCATCTGATTTAAGGCTCAGTTCCTTAACAGCGACAGTAGCACTTCTCCAGATTTGCTTCAATGCATCCATGTGAGATAGAGGAAAACGTAATCCATGAGTCTAAAAAGGAAATCCCCCCCCCAAAAAAAATCAGGCAAGGGTAGAATTGAGGCCTAATTGAAACAACATGCAGATATTTTACAAAGTCTCTCCCACAACATCATGTGTGTTTTAACACACAAACACCAACAGTGCAGAGCATCCACCGTAGGTATCCTGTTCTGGGAACATGAAGCACGTGCTAACATCTGGACTATCATCCCCAGTGCATAGTGGCTCGGGGGCGGGGGGAGAGAGTGTTACATACATTTACCTCATTCATATATTTTTGGGTTGCACCACTGCCTACTTTAAAGACCACGTGTAGATAGCCACAACCTGTGCTCTCATGGGCCTGAAGGTTTTTCCATTGACCACCTCCTCCCTTAGGCTGAGTGCACAGGGAGAGACAGAGCTTCACTTTCATTCTTGTCATTTGTTTCTTGCTGTTTTTTCCTCTTTTCTCTGTATAATCCAGCAGTTGCCCCTGCAGTGGAGCTCTCAAGGGATGTATCAGCCATACCATGGCGATACTTGATATATGAGGGGAGGCTTTGCTGTGACCCTGTTCTACTCTGAGTCCTCACTGCAGCAATGTCAGGTGCCTTGTGGGATTTGTGCCAGGCCCTGCCTTGGACGCACATGATGATTAGACTTGCCTAGATGAAGTCTAATCCCAAAGCCAGTGCAGGATCCCTGTGTGCCAGGGAAGAAATCGTAAGCATAGACACATGGTTTGCTACAAATACAGGAGACAGCAGTCAAGCACACCAAATTTCTCTAGTATAAACAGGGCCTGTGTTATTACATTAAAATGCCAATCAAAGTGAGACTATTTGAGGTGGCACAGCAAAATTTAAGTTATACAACCCACATACAAGAGTTATGAGGGCATATGTAAAGCCTGGTTCCAATTACCAAAGCAAAAAACAAGTGCTAGACAAATAGCCTACAATATCTTTTGCCTCTAAATATTTTGTACAGCGTAGCTGTTTTTGAAGAATCCTGCATTCTCAACTCTTCCAGGTCAAAGCTTTAGTTGGTTCAGATTGATGTTAATCAGACATTCTGACACATCCCAGAGGCACTGACACTCTGCTCAGTAAAATATACACGATCCCAAATGAAGCGAAGGCTAGTCACACTGTTGAAGTCATCAATATTGTCCTGAACAAGAAAGGGAGGATCCCTTCAGGCATAGCGATAAAAGCACCAATCACAGGCGCTCAAAAAGGAAGATATCTTCATGAAGTTTAGATTAAAAAACAAAAAAAAGCAGCACTTTCTGTTGGCACATAACTTAATTATTGCATGAGCTTTAAGAAATCACATCGAATGTGAAGTGCGGGGGTCAGACAGAGCCAACACACCGTCTGGTCTCTATAGAATGTGAGAGGTTATTTGAACAAAAAACAAAACTGATTAGCTCTGTTGCCCAGAGTAAACCCTTTTGAATGGCACTGCCAGAGTCTGCAAACAGACGGAGAGAAACGAAGACCTATGGGTGGAACACTGCTATTTAACTCAGTAAGGTGTTGACTGTGGAACCTAATGGTGAACATTTGAACTGTCACCAGTGTTAAAACAAGTATCAGAGGGGTAGCCATGTTAGTCTGTATCCACAAAAACAACGAGGAGTCTGGTGGCACCTTAATTTGGGCATATCCACAAAAACTTATAGTCTTTAAGATGCCACCAGACTCCTCGTTGTTTTAGTGTTAAAACAAACAGCAGTGAAATAGCTGGTAGAAACATCCAGCTATTCTGGCTGGTTTTTAGAGTTGGGTGCAGTGTGCCCTCACTTGGCTTCTGCCCCTTCCCCTCATGTCCGACTAGTCTTGACAGAGAGGGCAGCAGAGCACATAGAAGGGCGGTGAGAAAAGCAATGAGTTTCTGCTAATCCTCCAGCACATCTTGACTAGAGAGCAAGTGAATTAAACCTGCAGAACAAATCTACATGAAGCCTAACTTGGGGAAACAACCATTTAAACATGAGAAGCTGTAGAACTTCCTTTCCTTTTGTTGCAGGGGTACAGTCCGCTCTGTTATACATTTAGGGCTGGTTATGGGGCATGCTAAGCACTGATGGGCACATCTAACTAAACAGAATAAACAACAAACCTCAGATATCCCTTCTTCACTAGTGTCATCATCCTCATTCCCCATCATGTGCCTCTCTCTCCTGTTTTTTAAAGAGTGATAGACATAAACCATCTCTTTGCGAAGCTCATCCTAAAAGACAGCAGGAGGAAAACCATTATCATACAAGACAGGGTAAGTTAATTGCTTTGATCACATCTAATTACCTCCTTATTTAAGCAGCTCATTTTAAGACTAACCCAGGAACTCTTAACTACCCACCCTAGTCCGGGTGCCACCTGCTTTAGTGGAGACAAGGCTGCAGAATGCTAGTCTTGAAGAAGTGACTTTCAGAGACTTCTATTTTTCAGCCTACAATGCTGACCAGATGTGTGTGAGGGCAGGCATCTAGTCTCCCCTTGACCATGTGAGGCTGAAAGGACCATGGGTAGATACGGCCTCCATAACTAAAGCCATCAATAGGTTAAGACTACAGAATGGAACTTAAGTTATTTACAACATGGACTTTCCTTCAGGGTACACATCCTGCAGGGCCTTCATAAAGGCCTAGATGGCTTGTTAGGCTATGTATCTTGTCTACATCACAGGCCCAAAGTGGGCCTAGGCCAGTAGTGATCCGAATTTGGATCACTATCTCACAAATTCCAGGCCTTTGGTCAGATTCTTGGGGGCAATTGTCTGCCGATTGCAAGTAGTAGTTTCTGTGACAGAGAGTCAGCTGCCCTCTGACTCCTAAGGGTAAACCCTCCAATCCAAGTCACGGCTTGCCAAGGCAAGGAAGCTCGTACTACCTCTTGTACCTGTGCTGTAGACAGAAGACTAGTTTCTACAACTGTCAATTTAGATCCTTTCTCCACTAACCCCTATCCCCTCCAAAAAAACCTCTGCCAGCAGGCCTTGGTTTACACTGTATCAAGAGTACTCATCAGAGACCACAATGTTACCATCTCCTCCATGGAACAACTCAGTACCCACAGCCAGCATGGCAGGGCCAAGGGTAACAGAGACAGAGGGTTACTTACAATCATAATGCAGGCCATGGCTGCCCCACTGAAGTCAACAGAGCTGCACCCTCTTGCACAAGGTCTTAAATAATATGACCTAGCTGTTATATAGTGCTTTTCATAAGTAGATCTCAAAGCTCTTTACAAAAGAGGTAAGGATCACACTCTCCATTTTAGATAGGAGGAAACTGAAGCACAAAGAGGTGAAGTGACTTTAAATCCTATTTAATGTCCTATCTTGAAAAGGATGTGTTTCAAAAGCAAATCTCCTTTGCCAGAGAGCGGCAAGAGATATCCGAGTATATGGTACCAGGCTTTTTCTGGATCTAAGGCCATTTGCCAATTCCTGGTGAAAGCTCTGTGTATGGTACACAAAATCCCTGAGTAATTCTACTTTGTAGAACTTCAAACTGAAAACACTACATTGTAGAACAAAATTGCATTACATCATTGAAATCTCATGACAAATCCTAATCAGATGCTGGGCAACTAAACAAACACTCCTACAAATAGTCCAGGACAGCACAACAAAGCAGCAAGCACCTATGGAGGCAGTTTCATTATACTTACAGAATTTTCTTGATCAGGTTCCACTGTAATCATGGCATGATCTTTAAACCGCAATCTGATTTTGCTGTCTAATTTTGGTAATTTTCCACCTAAGAGAAAAACATACTGTCCTTCAGAAAGGAAGGAAACCAAACCAATCTTTGCTGAGAAAATTTTGTTTAGCTTTTTTCTTCCTGTAGCTTAACAAAGTCTAAGCATGAATAGCTCTACTTTTGACTTCTGCTTATTCTCAGATACAGGGAGGAAAGAGCATTCTTTCAGATTCTGAGGCATTTACGTTCAGGTTCATCAGATACAATAGCTACAACAGCAAGTTGGCATATTAGCAACAACCTCCACCAGTTAAAGCAATATGCCCTCAGAATAAATATGGAATTCTAACAATCAAGCACAACATTAAACATTTGCTTCATTCATTTTAAATAGAAAAGTAATCGGTTCAAAATTCAATCATATGTAAAGAATCTACTATTATCACTTTGCCCAAATCAGCATCTTTAACGCATGGATCTCAAAGCAGTTCAACAACAGACATTAGTTAAGCCTCAAAGCATCCCTCCTTTCAGGAAGGTTGGGGATTAGCCCCATTTTACAGAAGGCTAAACTGAAACTGGAGCACAGATAAAATGACCTGCCAGGATTCACACACACAGTCAGTGGCAGAGCAAGGGGTAGGAAGGACTGGCAGGAACCCTGGCAATCCCTGTGATCTAATCACTTGATAGCACTTGCTGCAAAACTTCAGAAATTTCCTCCAGTGCCAAGTTAGGTGCCATGGTTAGGCAGCTGATATGCTGTCATCAGAGCTCATTACACTAATTATAACCATCTCATTGCTACCTTGTGCTCCCATCTGTCTGCTGCATCCACCTGTTGTCTCTTGCCTTACACGCAAGGACTGCATTTGGTGTGCACACAAAGTGTCTACCGGAATGGGGAGTTGCTCCCATACTGAGGCCTCTAATGCTACCACAATGCAGATAGTCATCATAATCCCCCACCAAGGGAATCAAGAGTAAACTTAAATGCCACCTGGAGCCAAGAGATCAGAGCTGTTCCCCAAGAAAGGCGGTAATCGGTTCATGATGAAATCCTTCTTCATGTCCGAGGATCTCAGTTCTTTGGTGTTTTCCAGCCGGTCTGCAAGACTTCTCAGAAAGCTGCTTAATCTCCTTGTTGAGTCAGCTATATCCACCTGCTGAACACACACAGATTCTCACAAATGAGCCCGAGTTAATTATCAGAGTCAATCCTAATTCACTAGAGAAGGGACGGGTCAAAATCCTCAAAGTATTACAGATGCCGGGAACCATGCTACTGTGTGGAGTCTTTGAAGTAGCATGAGGAGAGTGCTCACACTTGGGGCTGTCAGTATCCCTTTGAACTACATGAAAAAGTGAAAAAAATCAATGGCAAAGCATTCTCCGTCGACCCCAGTACTCCAGCTCCCCAAGAAGAGTAAGGGAAGTCGACTAGAGAGCATCTCCCGTCGACGCAGCACAGTTAGGACACCGGGGTAAATCAAGTTATTCACATGGATGGAGTAGTGTAACTTAGGTCAACTTACCCCGGTAGTGAAAACAAGTCTTAGCATCACTAAGAATTCCGCCAGAAGGAAGTGATACCTGAGAGGGACCCCAAAACAACACCACGACTGAGAGGAAAGTGTTGGAGCTTGGGATCATGTTGGATATATAGAGAGCAGTTCAACAACCTAGACACGGCTTGTGGGCAGCCTATTCCTTGGGGTTGAAAATGGAGGTGAACGGCAAACCTCAAAAGGAGGTGGTTTTGGTACTACATGATGGGGCCAACACGTCAATAGGTCTATCATGGAATCATAGAATATCAGGGTTGGAAGGGACCTCAGGAGGTTATCTAGTCCAACCCTCTGCTCAAAGCAGGACCAATCCCCAGATAGATTTTTGCCCCAAATCCCTAAATGGCCCCCTCAAGGATTAAACTCACAACCCTGGGTTTAGCAGGCCAATGCTCAAACCACTGAGCTATCCCTCTCCCCCAAGAGAGCTGCATTCTCCTGAACATTTCTTTAACATACAGAAGTTCATGCTACATTTCCCCTCACAATCTCATCTCTTTACCATCAGTAGTTGCCTTGGTATACTTGTCCGTAGAGCCACATCTTCCTTCGCTGTATCAAACACAAGCCCAGGAATCGCATCTAACAAGAAATCTCCCCAAGAACTGCAGGGTGGAGGGAAACAAAAACAACTGAAATGGTGACACTGAAGTAAGGCTCAAAGGGACTATCTAACTGCTTCTCGTCTATATAGAGTGGAAGCTATGTATAGCTAACTTGGATAAAGCAAGATTCTCTTTCATTGGTCACAGCTTGTTAATGTTGAGTTTAGATTTGCACTTAAAGCTAAGGATTCTTAGTTATGTCTGAACAAGACAGGGTATCCTTCCCAACTTTACCGCACTTACTCTTTCGGTATGGAGACTTCACAAATAAATCCACAAATCCATTACTGTGTGAGTTAAAATCAATGGAAAAATTTAAGAAATTGAGCACAGTGTCAAACCTTTGACTCCAGTGGTCAGAACAAAATAATGCAGACTAGCTTTCCAAAAAAATCACTGAACCATTATGCAGTGGCTACATTTGAAAATTTTGTTTTAGGATTAATGGTAATTTTTTGCTGTTATTTCCCACAGCTGAAAGTTTTTGTTTCAGAGGCTGTTGAATAATCATCTTCAAAAAATTCCACAATTCATTCACAATGGCTGCCATCTCCCACTGCACTCTATGAGAGCCAAACTCTCCTCTCCTCCCCCCATCTCCCCCCACTGGGCCAGGAGCAGAGCCGAGGCTGGGCGTGGGGGCCAGGAGCAGCGATGTGGCCGGGGTCTGAAGCCAGGCTGGAGCGAAGC